ACTTTCAACCTCTGTAGCACCAGTGCTATGTGAAAAAAAAGTTAACGTACAGCCCTGCAGTAATATAATCACACATGTCTTGTGGAGCGCTTTCAGAGTATGCATTTATTTGTCATTTTAACTGTTTGGAAACAGAGCGTAAATGTGGAAGTCCTTCAAAGATTTCTTTACCCTGTTGCGCCCTCTATAGGACCAGCGACTAGTCGACGTCAAGCTTAAAGCGTCATGGCAGAGCATTGAAGTCGACTAGTCGGTGCAACCCCTAATATGTAGATTTTTTTCAGCCATTGGTGAGCCGGTGAGCATAAACTGGTTCAGTCCTCAAGGCGAGCGCATCATCTCAAATCAGAGAGTCATCGTGCATACGGAGGGCGTGCGGTCCAGGCTGACCATCTACAACGCCATCATCGAGGATGCTGGGATTTACCGATGCCAGGCTGTGGACGCCAAGGGACAAAGCCAGGAGGCCACGGTGGTGCTGGAGATTTACCGTGAGTTGATGAAGGCATGCTTATGAATGACGGAACCAGTTTTAGCATTGTACTAAATGTCCCTGAGAAATCCTGTACACATTTCTTGAGGACCTCTGTGTGTTTTTCACTTGCAGTTACTGGTGATATAATGATATGAGCCTCTAAAATGATGATGAAATGTTTCAGCATGTCATTATGCTCATCATTATCAGTCATCATTGCCTTCAGTAAGTCTTCCATGAATACTGTGGTGTTGTGATGCTTCTTCACCTTACAACAGGAGAGTTTTATGTAGATTTCATTAATATTGAGGCAAATTAGCAGCTAACTTAAACGAGGCTTGTCACATTGACACTGATAATTCAGATCCGGCAGAAACAAAGCCACACACCGTCCTCCCGCGCAGCTCTTCTTCAAAGCAGCATCTCGTCTGAAATAGAGCAAATCAGCCGAGACCTGTGAGGTTAAATAACATCAGAACGGTCACATTTTCACTTAAGATTTCATTCAAGAGCGAACAGCATTAGATACAAGCTGTGCTTGTACTACGTGCATGTTGAGGTGAAAACTCATTCACTGTTCATGTGCTGACAGTCTTATGCATTTTGCACATAGTGTAATTATTGCAAAAAGTAGCTCTCTGGAACTGTAACTTCATTTTTTTTCTTTATTATTATTTTTTATTATTAGTAGTAGTAGTATTTTTTCTTCGAAATTCTATTTTGTTTTGTTTGTACATTGTATTTGTTCTGCATTCTGTGATGTATGATTTACAAATGTAATCAAATGAATTCATACAACTAAATATAAATTCAATCAATCTTTTCAAATGCATTCACATGAAAATATGAGGATTTACATAAAAATAGTATTTATATTTTGTGCTGCAACAGGTTTACTGCATAAATTAAAACGGGATGAAAATAAAAATGTTTTATTATGTTTTAGTATTACTGTGGGTATTATTACTCTGCAAAGTACATTTTAGTATAGAATAGCAATCATTTTGAGTTAAACTGAACTTGTATTTTGACGGGTTGTCATGAAGACCTCTGATTTTTATTTTATTTTTTTATTTTTCTGTGTTGTCTTTGTTAATTCCTCTGCATTCTGTGCCATGTTTTCTACAAAACCGGAAATCGAGGGGTTATGATGTCATTAGCAGGCGACACAATGACACTATGGACACGCTCCGTGTCACTAGTTAAAGTTGCTTATTTCTCTGGATTTAAACATTCTTCGAAACATTTGGGATAATGTAAGTACACAAGTCAGCAAAATATATAACACTGTTCTAGTGGTTTTTGGATATTTTAAATCAAAACAGCGTACATATTGTGCCTTTAAGTGTGCAATAACAATATATTTCTGTCATAATTTCCTGTTAAACCAAACTTTTGTTTTCGGAAGCGAAAGTTATGAATTTCACACAATTCCGGTATTTCTCAGAAAACAGAACTGGTTCTTTATAAGAACCGGTTCTCGGTTCCACAACCGTCCTTGCTGTTGATGTCTTTCAGACAGAACTGGGACATTATGAAGGTCAAAACACTAAAAAAAAAAAAAAGCAAATCACTCTCATCGCACTTTGTTTTGGACTAAATCAAACCAATACGACAGTTTCCTTTTCTCATTCAGTGATTTCTGTCAGATGACCTTCAGTACAGTGTGTTTGGACTGAATACATGTGTGTAATAATGTAGAATCAGACCCAGTGCGGCGCTCTGCCCTGACCTTCAGAACAGAAACATGATTTCAGCCAAACAGCGAGAGATTCTGTCTGTTTACAAGTAATACTGAGAGGATGAATGCGATCACATTCAAAGCATGCAGAGACGAGGGAGAAAAATAATCATTTTGATTAGCCGGTGAAACAGCTTGATTCATTCGATTTGTGATGGTTGTTATACTTGGAGTTAAAAGAGATGCACTTCTGTGAGAAATGAAGCTGCTTTCACTGAGCTACTGTAAATGCTTGTACAAAGAACTCAGTGGTTGCTCTTTCATCATTCAGGAGAAGAGTGGAGAAACAAACAGAGTAACACTATGTTTTGATAGTGATGCTTTACTTTTATTCTGCTGACAATATGTAACTTTGCAAGTAGGGGTGTGCGATATTGAAAAAAAACAAATCTCGATTTTTGGGGGATATTTTCGATAACGATAATTAGACAATATTTTGCATAGTATGTTATTGTGCTGATATCTGACTACCATGGACAGCTGCAGTTTTTGATATTCTTCATTCTGTGTGCTGGTCAGTTCACATCAGTGAACAAAATTTTATCTTTTCATATGTTTAAATTGATTATTACCTTTTATGGGCATTTTTACCTTTTTAATAAAGCCATTTTTTTGCTAAAAGTGTGCATCTTTTGAGTCAAATTGTTACATTTAATCAGTCAATTATAATAATAAGACATTTAGGCTGTTACCAAACAAATGAAACCAGTATCAACTAAATCAATCTTTGCAGAAGTTGCATCTTAAGTGGCATTTAGATGTATTTACACTCTATTTAATTCAGCTCAGAGGGACATGGAGTGCTTTAACCTGCAGTTACAAATGCATAATGTTTTGATATTTT